GGAGGCTTTCTGGCTCTCTCTCTCTCTCTCTCTCTCTCTCTCTCCAGCACTCAGTCACTCATGAAATGCTTAATTAAAAAACAGAAAGAAAAATTAAAAAATTAAAATAATAAAAAATAAGAGAAATATATTTCTTCTAAGCCTTTAATATAAATATGAATAGAAAAAAATCACATCAAGAAATATTTCATTTGGAAATTAATATTCAGTATATATTTATAAATACATATAAAAGCCAAACCATGTAATGAGTTGGAAAAAATGTTTGAAAATCTCTCCGAGAATTCGTATAATGAAAGTAATTATTTGCGACAAAAAGCCATTCATTTTGCTCTGTTGTATATATAATAAGATTGATTGCATACACAATAAGTAAGAAAAAAATTAAAATGATAAAAAAATTAAGCGAAAGTTTTTTAAAGAAAGTATTTTTTAAAGTTTAAATATCAAAAGAAGAAAACACTTTTGAAAATATCAAAAATGACTTAAAAATGAAAACGTTTTCTCTCTTTTGATGCAAAACTAAAGAGAGATAAATAGCGAAACATTTAAATATGTATAAAATTATGTATTTTACACAATGATTGCTAATTTTCTCTCTCACACACAAAATTGAAATACATTTTACTCCAAAAAATATAATTATATAAAAAATATTTCCTTTCAATTCATTGATATTTAATATTTCTATACTTTTATTTCATATAAATATATTAATATCAGATATAAAAGTGTAGTTATTATTAAATATAAGAGTCTAGACGTTGTCGGAGAGAGTATTTCAAGTGATGTTAAAAAAAGTAATGAATTTAATAATTCAAAGAGATTTTCGCTCCCATAATATTAGAGTCGCTAATACTTTATAATAATTTTTATACCATTTGTAGTAAATATTAAATATAAAAGGATTATAAAGGATATGAATGCCAAGAATTAAATGCTATTAAATAATAAATAATGTTATTATAAATGTGTGCAAAATTTTTGACTACCAGTAGGTCAGACTGACCGTATTTAATAAAAGGATTGAAGAATTACAAGAAAGTTATGTAAATACAAAACAACTAATCAATAAATCAACAATGACTGAACAAGAGAGAGAGAGAGAGAGAGAGAGAGAGAGAGAGAGTTTAAGAAAACCCACATAAAAACATTATCACAATACAAACTACAAATGAATTATTATAACAATTATATTATAAGTGTATTAATAACGTCTATAGAAGTCTATGATTAAGTTTTTCTTGACTTCATTTACAAATGTAATCAATTGGTATAATCACAAGAGCCGTACAATTGTGATAACAATAGCAGCAAAAAGAGTTTTAAATATATGTTTTATATTCAATACTCAAATAATGATTAGACAAAAACATTGATTGCATGTAAACTAAAACTGAGAGAAAAAGTTTATTTACACACAATTTTGTTGTGAGTTAAGAGAGAGCTAACGATTAGGCAATTCTGTAAATATTAGTTAATCCAAAGTTAGTTGAAATAAAAGTTATAAATTCTAAGGAAATATGATATTTAAAAAATATATTATTGAAATTCACTGCAATTTAAAGTGTAATACATACTGTACCTGTGCACATTAGCTGATTAAGATTTTTCCTCTGCCATTTTTAACATAATATTAGGTGCTTTTAGAGTGACCAGGTCCAATTTCAGAAAAAGAGGAGATTCTACTAAAATGTTAGCAATAATAGAGAATAAAAAAGGATACAACTTTTTACATTGATTTATTGCAGATTTAAGTGATTTTTTTTGTAATTTTTTAAAACACAGAGGAATTTCAAAGGAGAGGAGAGGAGAGGAGAGGAGAGGAGAGGAGAGGAGAGGAGAGGAGCATGCTCAAATGAAGTTCAAATAGAGAAAATTCTTCTAGAAAGAGGACTTTAAACTCTCACTTTAAATCTACATGGTGAATTTTTAAAACCAATACGTCATTACTTTCACTCAGTCACTAAAGGCGAAAAGTACATTTTCAAATTTGCGATGTCTCATTTTAAAGTAGATAATTTTGTTAATTAAAATTTTTACATAATCTTCTATGGAAATTATATAATGGTATTGCGTTTTTCGCTTTATAAAATCTCGCGGTGCACAATATGGACAGGGGTTTAACAAAAATCTGAAATAATTAAAATATCCATTTCATCAATGCTAACATTTCCCAATTAAAAACACCTAGGTTAGAATGACAGAGGAAAAACATTAATCAGCTAATCTGCATAAGTATGTATAATCATCATATTACATATCATGTTCACTTCACATACCGTAAAGTTCCATGCTTTACCCAACGGGTTATCTAATGAAAAAGTGATTTTTATTGAAAAATTCTTATGTTTGAGTTATCTATAGGTGTGGCTTATGTACTGGTTTACTGATAATATAAAATAATGATATGCTAGGAATAAAACAAATATATTTGTTTATTATTACAAATAATAATGATTGGCACTTAATTGAATAATAGTGTAATTAAATTTTAGTCATAACTTTAAAATACCCATTAAAGTACGTAAAAAATTACACACAGTATTATTTAAATAATCTTATTCAAAACTATTTAAAATCCATGTTTAATTAAGTTTAATGTAAAAGTAATCAATAAAATTGAATTAATAAACTAGTATTTAATACATTATATTAGTATATTTGCCAATCACTTAAATTGTCAGTAATATAAATATTATTTAATCATTTATTGATTTAATATTTCTTTCTTTCACGATCGAAATTGTTGTTTATTTTATTTGTTACTATTAATTTCAATGTCTCGATAATGTGTTATTATAGGCCATACAAAATGCATTTGTGTTTAAAAATAGCCAAATATCTATACAAACACAATGTCTTGAATACACATTTCAAATCTCTTTCTTAGTATTGAATGTGTATTCAGTATTGAATGTCCTCACAATTGGACTCGTCTTCATATATATAATGGTTATTATCCTTATGTCTAATGATTACTAGAATTCTCGATTTATTTACACTTTTTATATGTATTTATGAATTTAATTCCTAGACTTACATAATATTTACTTTGTATGTCATTGGTTGGGGTCTAGAGTCAGAGGACTGGTATGTTAAGAGTCTAACACAAACAGCACTCGATTATTGCACCAAAAAACAAACCATTAATGTCATTAATGTTTTCCTCTCCCAGACTTGCTCTCTCTCTCTCTCTCTATCTCTCTCTCTCTCCCTCACTCTCTCTCTCTCTCTCTAACTATTGCATAATATGATCTGTTATTGTGGTAATAAAGAGTGAGTAAACGTCTATTCAATAGAAAATAGCAGAGCATAACATCCGATGTAATGTTTTTAAGTTACAAAATTGTAAACACTTTTAAAATTACTGCCAATTCTTTACAAAATATAATCTAAAGAATTTCAATCGATTTCCTCTCTCTCTCTCTCTCTCTCTCTCTCTCTCTCTCTCCTGACTAGTTTTGATGTGTATTAACCTTGTTTTTGACGCCCGACGAGAATTTTATTTATTTTCATACGAAATATTTCACAACTTTTTCATATATGAAATATTCTTCACTTATTAAACTCAGGAATATTTTGGCGTTTGATATGAAATGTGTTGCGAGAGACGGCTTATCACGTATACACAGCATATTTACAATTATATTATAATAACATTTGTATTATAATAAATGATTTTATATGAATGGCAAATGTTTTGTTTAAAATTTTAACGCATTTTATATTTACAAATGTAATCATTTTCGTGAATAAATTTCAAGTTTATGTAAACTATTGTTTAACGAATTGGTTTGTATTATAAATTCCACAAACAGTTAGGGTATGAGAGAGGGAGTGAAAGAGAGGACAGATTGATAGATAGATAAAAGATTGGAAAGGAGAGAGAGAGAGAGAGAGAGAGAGAGAGAGAGAATATTAGGAGTTTCCTATTGATCACATGGAGTCCCACTTTTATACCACTTTATAGCACAATAAACAGCAGTTCACAAGAATTCTTGGGCGAAGAGAGAGAGAGAGAGAGAGAGAGAGAGAGAGAGAAAATGTTTTTCCTCTGTCATTCTAACCTAGGTGTTTTTAATTGGGAAATGTTAGCATTGATGAAATGGATATTTTAATTATTTCAGATTTTTGTTAAACCCCTGTCCATATTGTGCACCGCGAGAGAGAGAGAGAGAGAGAGAGCTATACACTCACTCGCCTAATAATCTTAACGATCAGATTCTAGTGATTAAGTGCTGTAAACATAACATCAAATACAAACAGAGATGAAGTAAAAAGTGTTTGGTTTAATCTATACAACAATCATAACAACCATAGCCGGGGTTTTGTGTGCAGTAGTCTTGCGATGGCTTAACACACATTCACATTAAATGTATACCAGATTTGTGCTGCAAAAACATATTATTACATGATATGAAAAGTGATGTATGAAATCATAAGTGGCTTTTTTGTTATCAATTTCATTAATCAATTTATACTTTATTTTATGCGTGAATTTATTACAACGATATGAAATCTCTCGACACAAAACAATTTAATTTAATGGTTTCGTTGAAATTTATGAAAAAAGTTTATAATGTTTGCAATATTCTTGAATTAAAGAATCTTGGTAATAATATACAACTTAATATACTGTACTATTGTGCTAATGTGTTTGTAAATAATTTGATATTGGCAATGTAGGAATATTTTTTTAATTTAATCATTACTATAATAGTGACAAACATATGTTTTAATATTTTAAGTAATTCTTCATTAGTGTTAATCAAACTCATCTTGATTATTTGATTGATGTTTTTATCTTAAGTAAACCATAAACAGAACATTATAAAAATCTTTAATGTCTGGATCTATAATAAATTCTATTAGAAACTAAGATATTGTGAACGAGTTATTAAGTGATAAAAATTTGATAATTTTTTTGGGCATTTTTCAGTGTATTTGTAAATATTTAGTAAAATTAATATAAAAATAATAAAAGCAAAAAATAAGTCATGTTTTGTGTGAAACGTTGCGGTGAAGACATAACGCTAGAGAAGGAGGAGAAGAAGATTAACCGTATGATCGACGAGAGCCTCAAGAGGGACAAGAAGGCCGCCAGACGTGAACTGAAGCTACTATTGCTGGGAACGGGAGAGTCCGGCAAAAGTACTTTCGTTAAACAAATGCGAATCATTCATAACAGCGACTATACGGACACCGAGAGGAAGGGATTCATACACTATGTCTACCACAACATCGTTGTCGCCATTCAAACTATTGTTAAAGCAATGGACGATTTGAACATTAAGTATGAAAATGAGTCGAATCGGGCGAACGGCCAACTCTTGGACACCATTTATGTAGACTATAAATGCGCGCATTTGACACGACTCACGGAACCGGTGGTGAAAGCCGTTAAACAGCTGTGGGACGACTCGGGTGTCCAAAAGTGTTACAGTCGTCGCAATGAGTATCAGTTGAGCGATTCGGCGAAGTATTACTTCGACGACATCGACAGACTGTCCGCCGATAACTATACGCCCACTCGTGAGGACATATTGCGGGTACGGATACCGACAACCGGTATCAATGAGTACACGTTTGAGTTGAGTTCTGTGCGGTTCCGAGTGGTGGACGTCGGGGGCCAGCGATCGGAGCGCCGCAAATGGATCCACTGCTTCGAGAACGTGACGTCCATTATATTCTTGGCGGCGCTCAACGAATACGACCAGCGATTGTATGAATGCAATCATAACTACAGCCAGAATCGTATGGAAGAATCGCAGGCACTGTTCCACACCATAATCACATGCAAATGGTTTTTTGAGTCTTCATTCATACTGTTTCTGAACAAAACGGATTTGTTTGACGAGAAGATCATACTCTCAGATCTGGTCGACTACTTCGCCCAATACGACGGCCCGGCGAAGGACTCGCTATCGGCCCGTGATTTCATACTTAGGATGTATTTGTCGTTAAACCCATTCATTCATAAATACATATTCAGTCACTTTACGTGCGTAACCGACACCGAAAACATGCGGTTTATCATTGAGTCCGTCAAACACACTATACTTCAGAAACATATCATTGACTTCAATATGGCTTAAAACTGAGCTAATCGTTAATCTCCACCACTAATCCTCGTTAATCCAACAAAATGTTACAAAATATCTAATCTCCTGGTATTGATTCCTAATTGATGTCATGAAAATATTTTTGCATTAACTCTATGTTATTCCTCTTCGTGTCTCTCATATCTCTCGTTGTGAACAGAACTACATTTGAATGTTGTTTTTGATTAGATTTTGTGTTAATTTGTTTTTGTTTGTCTGCAAAATAACATATAGTTTGACAATTTTTCTTAATTATATAATCTCTGATTTAGCAGTTATTTTATCAATTATATGACATGATATGCATATTGTGTTAATTTACTATCATTTAATTAAAACCCCTTAAGGTGTACAAAGAGCGAGCAAACTATATAAAGGTATATCTGTATTTGATATAATGCACATTACATACAATGTACTTATTCTTTGTCACATTTGTTACTTCAATGTGTATCCACACAACTAAAACAAATGTCCTGAAGGTACTAAATAAAATAAATAAACTCTACCCTGTACCTATTTGTACTTACAATACGATATTGGTATTTATTATAGTGCACTGTGTAACGAGAGAGAGAGAGAGAGAGAGAGAGAGAGAGAGAGAGATTTGTTAAAACTTAAATTCTGCAGATAATGTGTAGACATGACATCCAATATAACTTTGTACACAATTTAATTGTATTTAAATCTGTTCTCCAAATTCATTATGAATGTACGAATCAATAGAAGAAAAATAATTTATACACAAATAACTTAAAGTGCAATTATTTTATAACATTATACTAAAATTTAGTGGTCTAAATACAATTAAAATTATGTTTTAAATGTTAAAATCACATAAATATATAAATTGTTTATTTATTAGTCAATAAAATTACCACATTTTATATACTGTATGACTGAATTTAGTTTACATGTAATTTCCATTCATTAATCGCTTCGAGTGATGCGATCGAAGGCAAACATGAGGGCCAACATCTCGGACTTGATCTTCAAGGGGTTGGGCGCCCGGAAGTGTGGGAACGGACAGTGGCGGACGCGTGGATTGATTTTGAGCAACTTTAACACCATTCTTATAATGGATCTCATTTTGTGGACACTCTTCTCGTTCTCCTTTTGCACCGCTTCTGCCAACTCGGGTGGAAACGACTCAACCATAATCATTACAAATTTTCTCAGATAACTGTCGGTAAATTCAATGTAATTAAAACAAATTGAGTTCATTAGTGTTGCTTTTGACTTATAAAGGGAGGCACCCCTTAAACCCATTGTGAAACTACTGACCAGAACAGTTCACTTGTGCCCACATCGGACTCGGGCAGAGCGGCGGCCAGATATGTGTTGAGCGCCAATAGATAAACGTTATACAACTCCTCAAACTTGGTGTTTACGATTTTCATGACGACAGCCACGAGTTGCATTGCCTCTGGGTTTCCGCACAAACCATGCATTGTCTTGATTTTGCTTAACGATAGCATCCGAGTGGCCAACTGTACGATCGGGTTGTGGCCAAACACCTTATCCACTAAGTCTATTATGCGGACACTTTTACCCACATAGTTCCTATAGTGTGTATGGGGATACATTTGTACGGGTAATGAAGGTAACAATATTTGACTGGTAGTCACTTACTTGCACCACACGTTGTGTAGACTCAGGACAGTCTCGGGGAACATACGTCCTGGCCGTAGATAGTTATAGGTTAGCAAATAATCCAATTCATAGAGCTCTTCGTATTTGTTTTCCTGCGCACCCGTTGTACTCAACGCATAGCCTGTGCCGTGAATTCAATGTATCATTAAATGCCAGTCAATTGGTTTAATTCAATCAATTTATTACCAAAAATCACAACTAATGATAATATCTTTATCATTTTTACAATTTATGTACAAAAATTCAATATTTACTTCTAATTAATTTTTAGTTTAATGTGTAATTACTTACTAACCATTTTGTAATATTTTTAATTAACTAATATAATTTAATATAATAAAGAAGAGAGAAAGTGCGAGAGAGAGAGAGAGAGAGAGAGAGAGATTTGTTAAAACTTAAATTCTGCAGATAATGTGTAGACATGACATCCAATATAACTTTAAACAAAAACAAATTAACACAAAATCTAATCAAAAACAACATTCAAATGTAGTTCTGTTCACAACGAGAGATATGAGAGACACGAGAGAGAGAGAGAGAGAGAGAGAGAGAGAGAGAGAGTCAAAATAGAAATACATGTTTTTATTAAATTAAATTAAAAAAATTTCCAGAATCTATAAATACGTGATATATGGCTAACAGACTAAACACTTAAATTAATAGAAATGCGTTTTTGTATAAATTATATTTTTTAATTAAAAAGTTAACTAAAAATATGTCACCAGTAATGTATGTTTTATATTATAAAATTTATAACATTATAAATATGATTTTATTTGGTATATTTTTTAGGAACTTTTTAGTTTATATGTTAAATGTTAATTGCTATATAACCACTTGACTTGAACAAAGCCCAACACTTCCCCTAAACAAACAATACACTCATGTATTCAATTAATTACAATAAGATTAGTGTGAAAATTAATTAACTAGTGTAACTTTGAACAAGGGTAGCTGCTTCAGTATTTCTAGCTATTAGTCTCAATGTGAAATTGTGACAGCAAACACAACAATGCACCTAGACACCAATGATAAATGACCATGCTACACTCGATTCATTACATTCTAAGATTGTGCAACAAAATTACCAGAATTTGATACGCTATCTATGGTTAGGCAGAGTTAATATGAATACTGTTTGAATGATTCAAACATTGAGCCCATTTCACACCCAATCATCAATTTATTCGCTTTTCGTGCAAATTATTTGTAGATAAAATGCATTGAAATCTCATTTATAATGACTACACGCATAGCAATAGGATTAGACTTGAAAGGGGAACAATTCTCGCCATACATCAATAATGTTTGTACAGAATTAATAATTTTCACAAATATTTTACAATTAACGTGGTTAATACACGTTACCTCGATAAATAAACCATATTCACTGGAATAATCATATTAAATGATCATGGTACTAATAAACATGGCGTCCAATGAAGCGACCATGGTGTTAATGGTGGACAAAAGTGGCGGCAATGAATATGCGAGTGTCTCGTAGGCCACACCTACATAGCGTTTGGTGGGCACAAACAGTGTAGGGGTAGTGGAGAGTGTATAGAGAGTGCAGTAGTGGTGGTATTAATGAGTGCTTCTCTCTCACAGCACTCACAGCCAGTGTTCACAACACTATTGTTCACCCCTTAAGAGTGCTATTGATTTGTACGCCAGTCGAGAGTCACTCCCAGAGAGTGTTCAACACATATATAGCAAAGTAGGGGAGAGAGAGAAGGAGAGGGACAGCGAGAGAGACGGCGAGGGAGAGGGAGACGGAGAGAGAAAGAGAGAGACAGAGAGCGACTGCGAGAGCCATAGGTTTTCATTGTGTTTGTCGTTGTGTTTGACTGCAAAAGCATTGAATGAATAGCAATACTGTGTAAGAGTTGTAGCGTTTGATTACTAGTATTGTATTGAATGCGTTAATTGCCATCAAAAACAACACTAACTTTACATATATTTGTGTCCGAAGTTTGTTGTCATTCATATCACTCGCGAGTGGACGACATCCGGATCCGAAGACATTTGTCACGTGTGGCTGTCGTCAGGCATTATCACCGCAGAGATCAGACGCGCGAAGAGATTGCGATCGCAGATAACACCGACACTATTGTTGTCATCGAGCGGTGTGTTTGAGTCGTGAGCCGAAGACACCGCACGTGATCTCAAGAGACCGGACACGAGGTGTGAGCGCCGGACAAACGAGACAATCGCCGGACGGATAGCCAGACAGACAGACAGACAACGAGCCGTTTCGCGCCCGCGAAGTGAGCCGACTCTCAGACAGTGACCAACACTTACCTCCTCATCAAAGATAGCTGTTGTCTACCATAAGGCGGTGGCGGCGGTGGGAATGAACGCTCAGACCAACCCCGGGATGATGTATGTGTTGGGCAGCAATGCGTTGATACTCTTGTTACCAGAGTTTGTTGTCCAGCTACCGGAGTTGCGGCTGTTGCTTGTCGAGTCTGCGTTTGACAGGCGATTCTTGAGCGAGTGCGATAAACTCAAGCAACAGATCAAAGACATTAAGCTTGAGTGCGATCGCTATAAACAGGTGATGATTCAGCTCAACGACACCATCGTTAACGGCAACGGACACGGATCAGGTATGCGACCACTGGGCCACACATTGGCCGTTGACACCGGTTGCGGTGCCATCGCTGCGGAGCTGTTTGTGTTAGCGGTTAGTTAGCCATTGAATGCCATAATGTGTTGATTAGTTGAGGCATATATCGCGATGAGTGGTAACTATATTTAGCTATCGCTGAGTAGTATGTGTTTGGCTCCGTAGGCACCGCAACGCGAACCATATAATGGCATGTATTGTGAGTTAACTGTTGTTTGTCTGACCGATAGGTGGAAAGGGGCGCAAATACGCGGCCGCGTCTGCGAACCACGCGTGTCAGTCGTGTTGCGCTGCGGACAAGCCGTATATCTGCGACTGGCAGAACTGCGGCAAACGGTTCCGCAAGAAACCACATCTCGACACCCATAAGAACATACACACCGGCCGTCGCTTCTCATGCGATTGGCCTAATTGTGGCAAATCCTTTGTCCGCAAATACAACCTCATTGAACACCGCAAACTCCACTCCAGCGTCAATCCCAATGTCTGCGAGTTTGCCAATTGTGGCAAATTTTTCTCAAGTAATTATCCATTGTTTCACTTTTCCGTGTGTTTTACTTCCCATTTAGCGTCCATTTGTTTTAACCCCGATTTTGCCGCTGACTTACTCTTCCCCCATACTGTCCCTCAAGAGTGTACTCTTTATTGATTGAATAGTGTATGCGATTAATAGTAAAGCCATTATCAGATAAAGCCTTAAATTTGATTTACTTATTAAATTAGCAAACAGTGAGATAATTGGCATTTATCTAGTGTTTTACTAATAACATGTGTTAATTAATTGTGTGATTTCTCACGCATTGATTTATAACGATTTCACGTTAGAAATGAAAGTTTTATCTTAAATGTAAATTTCACGCATAAATTGAAATGCTATTAACCGTATGGTTGTTGTCAGATATGAGGGTATTTTTATTGTCCAATCGACAGACGCCTTCCCTTTTCACTGATTGCCTTTATTAACGATTAACTATTGATTTAATTAATGATTGAATTGTGTGTTTTCAGGCAAATACAGTCTAATGAGACACCAGAGCGTACAACACGGCCAACAATAAGACACCGATACAGACAACACACGCCAACAAATCCATATTAACTCCAATTCATCCATATATTATCACTCATTCATCGCATCCATTATTTCCATACAATTCACTAATGATTAGAGCAAACGATTAATCGGATTCATCCGAAAAAACACTAAATATTCATTCAATTTAATTACATTTTGTAGACATTTTTGTGTGTTTACTATAATATATTACCTTATATATTCATATGAAACAGAAAAATAGATTTTTCATTAATTTAAGGCATAAATTTCTCGCATTTAGTGTACGTAATAAGAATTGCATTGAATTTAAAGGTATATACAATATATAAATTAATCAATTTGCACACAATTGGTAAATATTATTCTACAGAATAATAACGAATTATTAATTTAATTGTTTTATTAATTATAATATGCGAGAAAAAGTAATAGTAATAAGAGTGTACACTATTATAGCGATAGTTAACTGTATATTAACTCATTAATTACAATTCATATTCACTATTCATTTATAAATATATATATTAAATTAATTATGTAATAATTTTAGTGAATTTAATGCTCTATTATTATAAGTGTTAAGTGAATATTATTTGGATATATATTTCATGAATTTTTCTTATTTTATTTTCATTTTACATTTAAATACATAATTAATATGTAGTTTATTTTATCAAGAGGTGTCTGTATGTGGGCAGACCATACCGGGTGTCGTATACCGCAGGGGAGGGGCGGGAGAGGGTGTAAAAGGGGGTATTAATTGAGGGACACCCGTGATATTGACAGTGATTTTGAGATAATGATTATAATGATGATAATAATAGCGCACTAAAGCCCTGTTCCTAAACTAATTGCTATACAATGAGAGCTAAAAGTGCTAACAATTTATTACCATTTAATTAATTAATTTAAATGTAAACCATTTTTTGTTTGATTTATACAATTTGCACATTAAATATGTTTGACTCCTAATCGAAACTCCCAATTGTTGTCATACATGAGACATCCATTCACTTGATTTATGTATTTTTCTCACAATTTAATTGTTTGTAATTTGTTTTTTGGTTCAAAACGTGTGTGAAATTTGATTTGTTTTTCAATTTAATTTTCTGTTTGTATTTTTATCGGATTTATATCTAAGTTTATTTAACTTATATTTTTCACTCTGTATTTCATTATAAATTCATTTTAATATAACATTATGGTTAGAGTCGCGCATATCTATTGTGTACAAAAAAATAACTGTATGAACAAAACCAATACAAAAACCAAATACTTTACAATTATATAATTAGCGAACCATCTCTTGCAGTGACCAAAATTATAGTTAATTTTAATTACAATTAAGAGTTATATAAATACGTAACATAAAGACAGTACTATTATTACTATATTTAAAATAATGTTTTGTCAAAAACAATACTTTTAATACATTTCTAACAAAAAAATACAATAATATGTTTGAAAAACAAAAACCAAAAATATGTCTAAATTTTTATGCAATTTATTTCTGCTGTGAATATACTTTTGAAACCTATTTTTGATTTGATTTTGTTTTTAATTATGATTTCCCTGTATTTGAAGCGACAAACGGATTATGAGAGGACACATACATCCCATCTCTACCTCATTATAATGTACTGTCCATTCATTTAACAGATATTAACATTAAATTTTTGCTAAAATCTAACCAAAACTTTATTTATGATAAACTCAAGACTAACCACTCTATACTTTTGGTAAATTTGGAATAACCTAGATCAATTATCTGGATGGTCTCTCTCTCTCTCTCTCTCTCTCTCTCTGCATGCTGTTGTGTGCTATTGTTAGTCCGCATAACTTGTTATATAAGTTCTCGAATGCGATCATAAAAAAGCAAATCTAAACTATAAGAAATAGCAATTCTTTTGATGCCATCAAACAATCTAATGTATGGGACGTATAGTTCGGGAGCGCCTCTGAAATCATCTTTCATTTCTATAAAGAGCCGCCCCATAGGTATAGAGCAGAGCATAGATTCTGTAAATGCGAGTGACTTAGCAATAGAGTAAAGTAAAGCACAGGTAGGCATTGGTGGTGACAATTTCAAAGGGAACTGTCTTTTTCAATGGCACTCATATGATGGACGGTCACAGCACTCATACATACATACATTTTCCCATTGCTTGCATTGCATGCTTATGCTTATGAACTGGTTTTCAATTCTTCCTTACCTTTCACTCCATTCTGTTTGCCTTAAGAATAAGAGATCCAGTGATCGAGTGATCCAATCATTGAGTCATTTAAAGCAACTGTTCGTTGTCTCCAAGTCTACAATTGGCTCATATTCTCAATATTGTAAACCAAACAACTCTTACTTTTACACTATTTATACAAACATTTCATTTCGTTCACAATTATTATAATATATATTTAATTATAATTATATCAATATCTTTGAATGCAATTCACAAAAACTAATTTCTATGGATGTGATATATTTAGTCAATTTTAATATCACTATATTTTCCGAGATGTTGTAATCACTATAATATGAATGAATTCAAATACTTGTATCACTTGGAAGCACAAGAATAAGTATAGATATATAAATGATATTTGAATGCATGGATTGAGTGAATGGAGTGAATGGAGTGAATGGATGTATTAGTGGACATCTCTCAGCATTTGATAGCAGCCCAGCGGCGATAGCATCATATGAGACGCCTTCTGAGCAACAATCAAAAGGTGAAAGTGTTTTCATTTCAATCCAATTGCATATTAAATACAACTCTACTCTACATTCAAATTGCATTCAATTTTCACTCAAATATCACAGAATAGACAGTCGTTTAGAACACGAGGTTAACACTGATATGAGTTCTCTTTGGATATAAACTAAATTCATTTTTGTCATAACGTTTAGAGTCAATGCAATCACTACTTCAGTCTTGCACTGCATTCCCAACGCATGCGTTTCATCACATCTTCTCTCCTCTTCTCCTCTTCTCTTTTCTTCTCTTGTGATTTGGTATACATTTTAATGCAATCCAAGCAATGCATGGGAATCACCAGAGATGAGAGTCTGGCGACAATACCGATGCACTGCTAGTACTGCACCACTGCCTCAACTACACTCACATCTACCTTGACCTCTGCACATTTCTCTCTCTCTCTCTCTCTCTCTCTCTCTCTCTCTCTAACATATATTTGCATAACAAAACACTTTTGTATTAAAATATGATTGTATTGAAGAGAGAGAGAGAGAGAGAGAGAGAGAGAGACCCCTAAAAACATGACGATAAGTGTGTTATACGATTGTAAATGTGTTGATATATACGGGTATTGACGTCACGATTGTGTCTAAAAAACATCGGGAACTCAAAGGAAAGGGAAGAGTCTGTGAGGGAGAGAGAGTGACACAAATGCATACATCACTTGTCTTATGACAGCAATAATATAAGGCAAGCGAATAGAAAGAAATGTCATTGATTTCTACGAACACACTGTACTCGCAATGCATACGCAATACACACCAACACAACAGTGAGTACTCCTTGACAGCGACTCTACTCTATAACGTTGTAAACAAACAGCACTGAAAAGAGTGGCAATAAAACAGCATTTCATAAGTGATTGCAAAATAACATATGATTTGCGATCAATTGACTGACGAGTGACTAATCGTTTGCCATCACTACTGCTTCCCAAGACATCAACGCTCGCCATATTAGTCACCAATTGATCCGCATTTCAATCAACACTAGTTGTATATCATTGGTCGCGGCGGTTGTGGTAGTGGTGGTGGTGTTGAAGGTATACCATCGGGAAGTGCTCGACAACAACAACAACGACCAAAACAGAGATCAAAATGTGGTTCATATCGTGGATCTCATCGCGAGTGGGAACGAGTGAAGAGTCCGTACAACTGATGGTATGTCTGGTGGTGTCGTACGTGATATCCGTGGTCTACAACACGGCTGTATTGGGCGCCGGTGTGACCGCGAAGTCCGTCAAACTCTTGTATCATCTCGTGTCTGGTGTGGCGCTGGTCTACGCGTATTGCGGTCATCACGTGATCCACTCGATGGCGATGTGTCTGTTGTGTTACGCGACCATCAGGTGGTGTCCCATACGGGCGGCTCTGGTGGTCAATATGACGGTTCCGTTGGTGTATCTCCTCGTCGGCTGTTATGCCACACAAATCGGTTCAATCTATACCATCGGTTGGACTCTTCCTCAATAATCAGGTGGTGTCCCATACGGGCGGCTCTGGTGGTCAATATGACGGTTCCGTTGGTGTATCTCCTCGTCGGCTCAATACGGTGTGTTTAGCCAAGTTAGATATGGTAGCCAACCTGAGAAGGAGTTACACACGAGTGAGACTCTGAGTAACGGTAGTGTAAGCTACAGAAGCTGCCGGCTGCCTTACTGCGGTAGCGATTGGCATTCAAAGACAGTGACAAACAACAGGTCCGTTACCACACGAGCCTTACACTCGGCTTATAATTACCATCCCTTCCCAACCACTCATTGCCTGTTTTGATGATTACTAATGTCTTATTGAATGTGTTTAGGACACGGATCCGGTGCTGATCAACGCCGACACAGCGGTACTACGAATGCCTACACTATTGGAGTTCTTGAGCCACTGTTACTTCCCGTCCACTATATTAGTGGGTCCTCTCATATCGTACCGCAAATACCAGTCATATATCGAGTCAAACGAGAACCGACTGTCCGACTGCTGGCAATTAGCCGCCGGACGCTTGTCTCTCGGTCTCCTATACCTCGGGTTCTATGTCTTAGGCACCCATTACTGGCCGCAGGAGTATCTCCTCAGCGATCACTTCATGGCCAGCAGTTTCTGGTGGAAAGTGACGGCAATAGCGGTTGTATGCAAAGTAGGAATGACTAAATACTTGGCCACTTGGCTCAT